CACACACACACACACACACACACACACACACACACACACACACACACAGAGAAAAAGCGCGCACACACACACGCACACACACACACGCACACACACACACAGAACAAAAAACCCCCAACTCATTATGATGTCTTAATTAACATGACATAACATTTAAAGAGCTGCACGTTTTTATGTCTTGGACTGAAATATCATTATTGACTCGCCTCCCGCGGACCGTACTGACACTGTGTTTTTCATTCAAAGGATAAAGTCATAAAAGCATAATTGGGAAATCTTTTAAGTGGCTTTAAACAACATTTATAGGTGCTGTGGTTAGGGTGGTTAAAAGTGTAAAACTGAAATTAGTCTCCTGCATTACTGCAAATATGATCCAGCTGTATATGGCAAATATTGGATTAAAAAAAAAATTTTTTTTTTAGATTTACAATGTTATATTATGTCGGTTATTTGTTCACACAAATACAGAAGTGCCTTGAGATGCGAGTTGAAGTTGTTCTTTGACACGCCCTAACTTAAAACACTCAGTACCCTTTGAAATGAATGGCAATGTCATTAATCCGTTCCAGCACCCCTCCCCCCCAAAAAAAATCGCCAGTTTTTTTCTTCCCTTGTAAGATTAAATACTAAAGGACAGCAGAGTAAAAAGTCAAATGTTTTGCCTGTCAAAAAAGTTACCAAAAACTACCACTTTTTTTTTTTTGTTGTTCTTTGACACGCCCTAACTTAAAACACTCAGTACCCTTTGAAATGAATGGCAATGTCATTAATCCGTTCCAGCACCCCTCCCCCCCAAAAAAAATCGCCAGTTTTTTTCTTCCCTTGTAAGATTAAATACTAAAGGACAGCAGAGTAAAAAGTCAAATGTTTTGCCTGTCAAAAAAGTTACCAAAAACTACCACTTTTTTTTTTTTAATTTATCGGCCGATTAATCAGTTATCAAAGTTTTATTCTGTCAAACAATTTAACAGGTATCTGCCCCCCCCAAAAAAAAAATTCCATATTGGTCGTGCCCTAATCATAATGCAATGCACCAATGCAATGCATTTAAAAAAAATAAATAAATAAAAAAAAGCCTCAGAATGAAAATGCAATGCAAATTTGACTCCTTGAGCGCCCATACGATTTGGTTTAAAATTTAACAGTCAAATGTTTTGCCTGTAAAAAAAAAAGTTACCAAAAACTACCACATTTTAAAAAAATGAATCGGCGGATTAATCAGAAAAAAAAAGCCTCAGAATGCAAATGTAATGCAAATTTGATTCCTTGAGCGCCCATACGATTTGGTTTAAAATTTAAAAAAAAAAAGCATCAGATGTTCAGGAAAAAAAATGAGACATTTTTATTTAGTATTTCAAAAGCCCCGATAAAATTATAATACATTTAAAATCACTGTACTATGGCAATACATACACACGTATAAACATGTATGTGGTGCTTTCGATGTACTGTAGGCCGTAAGCAAATAGGTACAGCTATGTGCAAGTTCACTGGACCGTACATGGAGAAGAAAAGTCCAAACGTGTCCCCCTCCATGTACACTTGGAAAATACGTAAATTGGCACACCGATATACACTGACATGACAAGAGCTCACATTGAATTGTATTTTTTTTTCCCCGGTGGGGGGGATATGCATCTTTCACTCCAACAGGTTTTTTGTGGGGCATGAATCCGATTCCGCTTTCTTTACTCCATCAACTTTTTGCCCCTCGTATGATTTGCAGTCGTCAGTGTAAATTAAAAAAAAACAGTCTTTACGAGGTAGACTGTTCAGTTTTAAGGGCCCATCCCCCCCCCCCAACAAATTCCTGACAATACCCATGAAAAAAAAAAAGACATACATACTACATCTACAACATGTAGCGATATGAGGTAGAAATGCAGATAAAGAAATATTAACCGGCTGCAACTATGTCACCGTAACGCACGGAAAAGGCAAAAAAAATATGAAGTGAGCGAAGAAAAAGAAAGAAAGAAAGAAAAGCAAACAAAAAGAACAAGCGGTGAGGATTGATGTGCTTATCAAAGATTCTGCTCAAGTATCGGCGGTGACCACGGGCCCTCCTCGGCGCGTCACCCTTAATAATGAATGACAAATTATAAATCGAGCATTGACAGCGGGTGAGAAATTTGAATAAATGTGCAACGGATCTGAATGTTCCCCGTTTGAGAAGCGATAACAATTAAAGCCACACAAACGCGACTCCTTAGCCTTGTGCCGTACTTGAGAAATAGTTGCCCTTTTTTTTTTTGAAATCTCTTTTTTTTGGGTGATTTTTACACGTCTTTTTTAGCATACGTCTCTCTGTACGTTCTTGAAGCTTTTTTGTCTCGGGAACACATGGGGAGCTGTGCTTTCGAATGGCACTTAGGGCTTCTTTTCATATCAAACCTTTCAGTCATGTATGAAAACCAAGATTGGACTGAAGTTACGGTAAATGCAAGCAAATATTTCCCGTACCTTCACATGAAATGAAACAATGCCAGATGAGAGTGTAAGGATTATAAAAGTGTCCATTTCAAAATATCTCCACAGCTGTTTTAACCCTTTCGGGGACAGCGTCCACTATAGTGGACATCTTGTAATGTGATCAGGTTACAGGTTATCATTATTCATCATATCATTATCATTATTGGTGCATGAATGAGTTCAGCTTTCGCAGAGTCCCAAAGGGGAAAAAAAAACAAAAACTGTTTTACTTTGGCCTCACTCAAGAAAAGTGCAAATACTTATCACATTGGACTTTTTTTCAATTAGTTTTTACTACAAAGAGGAATTCGAGCTGCAGAAAAAACACAAATGCATCCTCCGATGTGAATCGTGTCTTCAATAGGAGAACAAAAATTTTTATCAAGTCAAAATCTTACGAGTGGGAAATTTCAATCGAAATGTAACAATGTACTTTTTCTTTGCAATGCATCTTTAATCACACTGGTCAAATTTTTTTCTTCTTTTTTTTGTGTAGTCAGAGATTTTTCTCGATCAATTTTTTTCCAAATCTGCCCTCGTTTTTTTTTTTCCCCTTGCACATTCGGTTTTCATAATAATACAATAACGCTATTATTTGTGAATTGAGGGTTGGATTCGGCAACAGGTGGATTATGACTTATTATTATATTTGTCTGAAGCGTCATAGCTATAATATGACGCATGGTATACTGTAATGCGTACTGCACAAGCTTTTATTGGCCAAATCGAAGAAGGAAAAAAAAGATCTCAAAATCCTGAAATCAGCATCAAAAATATGCTGAGGGACGCATAAAGGCAGTTCTGATTAAAATTAGCTGCTGACCAGTGCTTTAGCAGTAGTAGTAGTAGTGGTAAAATACACAAACATCACGATTTTTTTCAACTGTTTACGAAAATGTTATGTAGGTATCTATTTTGATATGATGGAAGCCAATCAACTTTGGAAAGAGTGTGGCTTCTTTTTAAAACGAGTCATGAAGAAAGACACATTCTATTCGGGTGAAAGGAGAAAAAAAACCCCGTAAAAAAACAACAAAAAAATCCAAAAAAAAAAAAACAAGCCCATGATTTGCCAACTTGATCAAAGAAGGCATCGAGATGCAAACACCTTCTGGACTATTTTGTGCCTTTCACAACGCGTCTTTCACCACCCAATGCACAATAAAACTACAAATGCTATCGCTAGCTTTGTCGCTCGCGATAGTACGCGGTGATCTCGCCACACACGCTTATGAGATCCAATACAAAATCCCGTAAAAAGCAATCCTGGGTTGGATACCATTTCACTCAACACGCTTTGAATATTTTTCCGACAACCTCCTTCAAAGCGGAGCTCTTGTATTGAATCTCACGAGTGGAGTAAATGCCGCGGCACGGTAGCGGAGCTAAATCACTGCTTACCGTAAATAGTAAGATAAAAAAAAAAAACACAACAGGACCTCTTTGAAAACAAGTTTAGTGCAACAGAACAACAGTGCTATCTACTTCAGTGCCTTTTTTTTTTTTTTTTCCCCAATCACTGTGCTAGCGTTTGGTGCCGTTTCAGGCCAGAGGACATCATACATTCAAATGTGCCAAACTCACTTGTCAGACGCGCGCTTTCTTTTACCCGCCCCAGAACCTTGTTTGGATTATGTAGCGATTAATGACAACAAACAGGTATAAATAAACGTCTAAAAATAACACTTTGTCACATCTTGCCACTTGCCCTCAAGTCAAAGGAGTGCCACTCAACTCATGGATGTTACAGTTATAGACCCAGACAGTGTCGCAGCACGTCTTCCATAAACATTCGCTTTTTTTATTTATTTTTTTTCTTTTCAAAGTAACGAAGCTGTGTTTAAAGTGGAAATAGATCGACAATGTGTGATATCGAGATGAGTGTATATTGGGAGCAAGCATTATCGGTGGTATTCCCCTTTTGGAGTTTTTGGTGAGTTATTAAATTGTAAAGCCCATATACGGTGGATAGAAAAAAAAAAATAACACCCATGTTGAAATGCCAGGTTTTTGTGATTAAAAAGAAAAAAAGATAAATCATTTCAAAATGTCTTACAGCGTAAACGTATACAACCCAAGTTTTTGAAAGGGGACTAAAAATGAACAACGGAAATAATGCGTGTGTACAACTGAGCACAAAATCTCCCCAAAACGTGAGGAAATGTGATTTGGTCGGATAAAACCGAGGTTGATGTTTTTTGGCCCTTATTGAAAATGCTCACATCACACCAACATTGACAGGTGGGGTGGCAGGGATGAATGAGCTCTTCCAAATAGCAAGTCAAACTTCGACTAGATTGCTTTCGAGTGGGCAAAAAAGTAGGCATGGGCTGACCTTCCAAAAAAAAAAAAAAAAAATTATGTTTGAGTGAATTTTTTTTTTTCCATTAAACACAAATTTATTTTTAAACAAAAAAGAGAATATTTAGTACAGAAGAAACGTGTATCGTGATCGCATTAGATAAATAAATAAAAACATTCTTCTGCTTTAATTCTTCAGTGGCCATAATTGGTGTTTTTTTTTTTTGGAAGAGACTCGTAGGTTACTTATGTTGTCTTTGGGGCTAACTAGTACCTGCTGGCACATTTTTTGGAGGGACATTAATCAGAGCAGAAAGGGATCTGTTTTTGAAGTATCTTGTCTTGCTCCCTCCCTCCTCCTCTTCCATTTTGTGCAGAGAAAGAGGAGAAAAAAAAAAGTTGACTCGTTTACTCAACTCCGCAAGCTACAAATCATTTTGTGCTCTGCTTCGCCGTCCCCTCCAAAAAAACGAAAAGAGCTCAATACCGATGACCGCCCTTATTAGCCGTTATTGAAACCTTGACTTTTTAAAAACTACGGTAAATCATCAAACCGGTAATCAGTCCATGCCTCCCCAAAAAAGGCAGGAAAAGTCGACTTGAACAACTAAAATTCATTTGTGTTTAAGCAGAGGCCACGTGAATTGATGGCGAGTGTGTGTTGACTTCCATCTAACAAGAATGTGGTCGGTGAATTCTGAACCCTGCCACATTGCAGATATCAGAGGGTGTGCACACTTGTGCAACCACATTATCTCAGTCCTTGATTTTCACCCCCCCTCTCGAATGTTCGAAACACACCAAAAGCGTCACAAAAACTTGGCATTTGAACTGGCGCGTGTCGACTTTTTCTATCCGCTGTATTCTGCACAGACACCCCCCAAAAAATCGGAAAAAAATAAAGATAGAAACACCGGCGTTCTTTTAAAATATTTGCTGCTGTCACACCTTTGTATTTGAGACGATAACGAACAAACGGAGGTAGAAAAGCAACCGAGGGGATACATAATCCTTCGCTTTCATTAATGATAAAACAGCAGCAGGATGGAATGAAATGGCTCCGGGCAATTTTTTTTTCCCCCTCGCTCAACCCCAAGATGTTTGTCTGCGCCGTTTTTTTCACATTCTACACGCCGCTCGACGCGAGATGTACAGCTGAGCCTCCAAATGGGGCGACTCAAAAGAGCAGAATCGCCGGGTAGGATTTTCGGTGTGATAGCGCCTTGAAAATCATTTCGGAATTAGCCGCGGGCAACCATTCAAGATAAATAACGCTTCCGTTCTTCTTCAAAGGCAAATCTCTAATCATAAATACGATGTTTCATTTCAAGGAAACATCCCTCACCCCCCCCCCCCAAAAAATCCGATTACTATTTGTCTCGCAAATAGATCAAAAATGAAATATATACATTCATTGGAGAAACCTTTGCTGAGGTATTGTAGCCGTGTCGCGTTGTTTGATACAATTTCAAATCAAAGTCTTTTTTTTTTTTTTTGGCGCGCGGTGTCGGAAACATACAATTAAGCCCCCAAATGATTCATACCCTTGCAAAACGTTACCGTGAAGTGAATTCGTATTTTCGGGAGAGGCTATCTTTTAGCTGGAAATGAGACAAGAAAGTTGTACGAGACTGATTGATGAAAACAGTCGACTGTTGAAAAAGGAAAGATATGGGCGATCTTATCATCACATATTGAAGAGAACGAGATCTCTCACATGTACATTCTCAAGGATCCTGTTCACGTCGAGAAAAATTGACCGATTATTAGCTATTTTAACATCGCTGGCAAAAAAAAAAAAAAAAAATCTGATTGTTTTATTTTTTCATCACATTAGAATATAAGACAATGACATTCTAACATCCTGCCGCTGCCCCCCCCCACCCCCACAAAATCGCCAAAAATCGGACTATTTTTTTCTCTGTTGTAAAGTAAAACAAAAGGACGGAGTATTTTAAAACTGGCAATTGTTCTTGCTGTAACTCATATCATTGTTGTAAGCATCAAAAGACCAAAAAAAAATGTTAGTTTATCCATTCGACATTTTTAAAGCTAATCGGATTTGTAATTAATCGGTTACCGGACTCACTTTCTGCTAACTATCGTAATCACCATCGGTCCCCCCAAAAAATCTGTTTTGCTCAGGCTCTACATTTTAATCAACTTGATTTTGATGTTGAGGAGTTGAGGTTTTTTTTTGCGTTCTTCTTTGCCCCATTTTCCGCTAAAAGATCGTTGACGTCGAGGGCCCGAGACGATGAATCAAATAACTCAAAAAGCGAAAATATCGGAAATAATAAGAGCCACCAGGAAAAAAAAAAACAAGTGCGTAAAAGGCAGAGAATATCCAACTTTTACGGCCAAAAAGAAGAAAAGGGGAAAAGGGTATGAAGAATATCGCGCTTAACTGTACTTGATGACGATGCTATCGTCACTTTCCTGAGTATTGAAAGTAAAAAAAAAAAAAAAAAATGAAATTGGATGGTCTAATTTTACATGGCGGTCAAACACTGTGAATTACAACTAACAACAATTACATCGTAATTTATTGGTTAAAGTGAAGCCACGTTGTGAAATCATATTCACCCTTTAAGTCGTATCTACAATTGGAGGAGCAAAAAAATAAAAAAATAAAAAAATCACCTTGCTAGAATCTTACTGGACCAACATGAGTATGCAGAGTATGACTATGTCAATGGTTTAGGTAATTTTCTTTTTTGTCCCCCCCCCCCATAACTAAATGATTTACACATACAAAATATGCCAGAAAACTGAGCTGAAAGCTTCTGCCCGTAAAATTGAATTTAGCTTAAAACAACTGTTCACAAAGAGCACACAACAGACGGCTGTTCTAAGGGAAAAGAGAAAGCAGGGGGGGTTGTCTCATTTTCAAGCTTTTTTTTTTTAAACTGTTTTTTTTTTGTTTGTTTTTTTAAACGCTCTATTAGCACAGGTCACCGATGAAGGTTGTGAGGCAAAAAAGAAAACTTAAAACAGCACCACCTCAGGCACTTGATAGCAACTAAATCTCAAAATCAGCAGTACGGTATAGTCATATATATGATGTGTGTGTGTGTGGGTGCGTGTGTATGTGTTTGTGTGTGTGTATATACAAAAACAAGAAGGAGGGTCGCCGGATATTCCTTCACAAGTCTTTTCGTGAGCACGTAACTCCTGCCATGTGCCGATTTATCGAATCGCGGCTTGGTCCGTTTTCATCTAAAGCCCTCCATGACCCCGTCAAGCGTGTCCGCGTTTGTGATTCTTCCAGCCCCCCCACCCCTTGCGCGATTACGTGACCACCCGAACGCTTTTTCGGAAATCACGGCGGAAGCGTCTCATCGATCTCATTGGCTGCACCCAAACATTTTATTCCATTCGGTGTACGTGTCGAGTTCTTTTTGCGATATGCTGGGCTGGAATTTACAAAAGACATTGTCAAAGTCTTGAAAAGAAACCGCTCTCATTTGTCTCGGGTGGAGACTCGACAGGTCGGAAGCGGGAACGCCGTGGAGCGCGCCCACCGCGGCCTCTTGACAAAGCTGAACCACATCCAGTCCGGAAAAACCTTCTGTCCTCTGAACCAGTAATGACATCTCTTTGTCGCTAAGACAGTAGTTGTGCGGGGAGAGCACTTGGTTGATTATCTGGTGCCGCGCCGTTCCGTCGGGTAAGGGGATGAGCAAGCGTTTGGTAAAGTACCTCCGTAGGGACTCCGGGATCTCTTCGGGTTTACTGGTGGAGCAGACCACCAGAACGTGGTCGTCGGCAGAGGACAAAATACCATCGAGCTGCATGAGGAGCTCGGCCTTCAGCCGGCTCACCGGACTGTCCTCGCTGAGCTGGGCCGACAGGAGGAGGTCCACCTCGCTGATGAACACCAGCGCCGGTTGGCGAGAGCGGGCCACCACGAAAGAGGCCTGGATGATTTTGTCTCCCTCGACCAGCCACTTGGTGACCAGCGCGGAGCTGCTCAGTCGCAAGAAGGCGGCCCCCAGCTGGCTGGCCATGCAGCGGGCCATCAGCGTTCTGCCCGTTCCCTGAGGTCCAAACAAAAGAAGGTTGCGAGGTAAGGCGTGAAGTCCGCTGAACATGTCGGGTCTCAAAATGGGCCAGAGGATCTCCTCCTTGATGGCCGCCTTGGCCATCTCCAGCCCGGCGATGTCGCTCCAATCCACCGGAGGGCACTGCTGAAGGATCTCCGCCGTCACCAAGTCCACCAGGTTGGGGTCGCTGTTCTTCAGTTGCTCCTCCGCGGCGAGGATGGACGAGGTAGGCGGACCGACATCGGGACCCGTGAGGGAATGAGGCAGGTGCTGTCTGTGCTCTTCGCTTTGCTCGCTCAAAATCGGGGAGCCAAACTTGCCGTAGGTCTCGCCGGCTCGGAGATCGTCCACGGAGCTTTTGGACGATCCGAAGGACGGCGGGGTCAGAGCCCCGCCGGAGTGGATGCCGAACTTTCGTTGCTGATCGGAGGAGATGGCCTGTTTGGTGGTCTTGAACGCCAACGAGGAGGCCTCGGCGTTTCTGTCAAAGCCGTTGCCCCGGTTGGAGTCTGAAACGCTGCTGTCCGCCAGTCTGTACATGGGACTCTGAGAAGAGCGCTGCTGGTTGTAGTTGAAGTCGGCGTAGCTCGAGTCCACTTCGCCGTGTCCGCTCATGTAGAAAGCCTTTCGTTTTAACGAGTTGGATGTGCTGCCGTTCAAGGGCGCCGGGGCAATCGGCGTATGATTGTGGGACTGGTAGGTGTAGCCGGGCAGAGTGGAAGGGGGGATGGGAGTGGGCGCCGCGATCCCGGACGGCAGATAAGCGGAAGGCGGGGGCGCTCCCCCCGGGCTATAACCGGGGCCCACGGCCGTTTGAGGGGGATACCCTGTCGGCGGATAATTGTAGTTGGGGAGGTTTGGAGACGCGCCATTGTAGCTCGGCACTAAGGCGGGGGGAGGCGGCGGCGGCGGGGGCTGCAGGAGCCCGGCGCTGTGCAAAGGAGACGGATGCGGGGAAGGGAGGGCCGGGGTGGTCTGGCCGCTGTAGCTGGAATGCAGGTAGGAGCCGTTGTAGCCGGCGCTGTATTCCTGAGAGGGAAGGCTCGAGTGGAGAGTCGTGGCCGCGTGGCTCCCGCAGTTACTGCTGGAATAGCTCGGCTCCGACAAGCTGCTCGCCACCCCCGGGGAGCTGCCGATGCTGGCTGACGCATCTGTAGGGGGTAGGGCAGCTGTCATTCCAGCTTTGCTCACAGATATAACATCTGGAGCACAGTTCATCGGGTAAATCCCCTCCTGCCAAGGCTCATTCTCCGACTTGCGTCCGTTCAGGAGTCCGGCGCCGCCTTCCGAGTAGGAACACAGGAGCGCTCTTTCGTTCGGGCCTTCGAGGATCCCGGAGTACTTCTCGGCGTACTTCTTGAGCAGGTTGGAGGCGGTGAGCGCGGAGATATCATCATTGGCCCAGGCGTACTGGTACGTTCGTTGCAAGTGTCCCCGGTAGGCCTCGACTTTGTGCGCTGGAGAGCGGGTGGTGGATGAGATGTCAAAGTGTTGTTCGGCCCATTGTGTGTGCTCTGGGGTCCACTGCATCTTTAGACCTGGGTGTTACGCATAAGGGAAACAGATGTCAACATTCCATACCTGTCAACCTCAGCTAATAGCTGCCCTTATAAATGATTACCATTCCCCTTACAAAGCAACAAAAACGGCTTACCGCGCCTGCGCACGTCATGCTTTATCGATCCTACCGTACGTAGCGATGAAAAAAAATATACGATTGAGGATTACTTTTGCTGGTTTGCCGTGACAATAGTAGCGATCGACGACGGCATTGTCGTTGGCTACCAGCAGGTGAGATGATCTGGATTTGAGACAAAATGGTCTTTGTGAGATCGGTTCACAATTTATTTATTTTTTCCCCGTATAAAAGTTGTAATACGCCGTACATGATTTGAAATGATTAAAAAAACTCTTATAAAATACGGGGAAAACGTATACGTTGACAGGTATGGCATTCGCAAGGATGAGCGATGAACTGAACCTGAAAAAAACGATGGACTTTTTTTTACCTTTTACACGACTTGGACATATAACGTACTTTAACATAGGGTTTAACTGCCCCATTGAAGTTGCGGCAAAGGGTTAAATACTGGCGGCTTGGCGATGCGCTCGTGTCCCACGCGGGCCACAAACGACGCGACAGAAAGACAACACGCATTGATGAGGGTGTGTGAGACACAGCGCTGCGCTGTAATCCACCCGACGCGAGGCGGAATGACACAGACGGACGCGGCGGGTCAGTCCATAATCCAACTCTCATCTGAAGCATTCGGAGACAGTTTCAAATCTGCTTGGAGGAGCGCAGCAAAGCAATCTTCCTTGGCAGCGCTCCGTTGCTTTCATCACACAAACCCCTCAGCCCAGCAGGAATTACATCCACATCAAGTCTGCCCACTGCTTCTCATCCAGAGCGAGGGAGGGGGAGAGGGAAGGTGGGGGAGGGGGGGGGAGACGAGGGGGAGAAAAAAAAAGAAAAAAATACACATGCTTGACTGCGAGCGTCTCCCGGCCTATTCGGCCTTGGTTAGCCTACGATTTATACCCTCAAAGAATGTTTAATAGACAGCTGCTCAAAACGGGCAACGGCCGGACGCGTCCGAGCAGACGTTTTCTTCCCTGCGCGTGATTACCGCGCCTCGGCCGAGCAGGTATTGCGGCGCCACTTCCTAGCGTCGCGTTCTTTTTCACGTGATTTAAGAAGCGCCGGGCAGCTGCGGCGGCAGGCGCGCGCCAAGCGCCGTTATTGTTCTGCAAAGAATAACGGATGATTCCCTTCGCCGTCTGACTCCATCTCCATCATAGGCCCACCCACCACACCAGGAGCTAATTAGCGGGATTACGCTGCGCTAATTGTGTTAATTTACAAGGTTTTAGTCAAAGAGATCCATGCTATGCCTTACATGCTTGTCAACCATCCAAGCTAATGATGAAGGGGGGGGGGGAGGAAAAGCCCAAGGCAAAAAAAAAAAAAAAACAACCCTGGCAGACAAATTTAGCCACCAGCGACTGAGGAGGACAAACGTTCAAAGACACACAATACCGGGTCTGCAAATAACAATTTTTTTTTTTTTTATCATCAATTATTCTGCCGATGAATCGACACATCTGATTTAAAAGAAAAACATGTTTTATTTTCCATCTGTTTATTCAAAATCAGGACAATCTCTAAAAATGACTTGAACGAAGGTTCAGTTTATAGTTTGGTCCGTAATATGTAAAAGAAAATGATGAGCATCGTGCTTGGAAAAAAAAAAAAGTCTGCTTTCATGGAGGACGACAGAAATTAAATATTTACCTTCAGACAATTTTAAATTAAACAAGGTCTCGAAGTGATTAACTGATTTTCAAAAGTAATTATTTATTTTGACAATCAGTTGTCAATTAATCATTGCACCTCTCGTAATATCACAAAAGAATATGGGAGCAAAGGTGGTTGACGAAAATTGCTTGGATAAAAAAAACAAAAAAAAACAGCCAACTTATTTTTGCAGAGATTGAAGCAAAAGTATGGATTTGCATCAAGTTAAACAAATACAATAGCCATAAACTGTGGCAATTTACTGTGGGCCATAGCTATATCCACCGTATTTTCCGCACTATAAGGCGCTTGGGAGTATAAGGCGCACCTTCAACGAACGGCCCATTTTAAAACAGTTTTCATATAAAGGGCGCACCGCGTTATCAGGCACACAAAATAGAAGCTACAATAGTGGCTGCGGTTGCGTTGTGCATCCACTAGATGGAGCTATGCTAAAGGGAATACAATACAATGTAGTTTTACTTCTATACAATCACAATCGCTGCAGCTGGAACAAAACGCTTTACAGAACATTTAAAATACTACCTCCACGAAATCGGAATATCGATCCATCTATAAGGTGCATCGGATTATAAAGCGGGCTGTTGGCTTTTGTAGACAACTGAATGCTTTTAGGTGCGCCTTATAGTGTGGAAAATACGGTCATGAAGCAAAATGAATATGGAACATTTCAATCATAAACTTGTTCAAGTTAATTGAGTGAGAAATGCCACAAAGAGCTATGCACAAAATGTGACATTGCTCCACAATTTGATTCGGGCAACGGCTTGTTACATACTTGTCTTCAAATAAAGTCGGTTGAAAACGTAGCGCATTCGTTTTCCAGCAATGTCCTCCGACCCGCTCAGTATCGTTGGCCTCCAAAGCCTCCAGATTGCAACACTTCTGCCATCATCCACTCGAAGTAAACGCTCGCACCGGTTTTGGGCCAATTCTGAATGTCGCAACGGAAACCGCGCGCATTGCCGTCGATGTAAATATTATGTTCTCGGCTGTCTTGATAGGTTTGGAGTGTTTATCTCAACAAAGGTTGTCACCGGGATAACTACATCTCAATAATTATTGCCTTTTTTTTTTTTTCCTGATGGTTTCCAATATTCTCCCACAGATGAGGCGGAATTGTGCCCGTGGCAAGCGGCGCTCCGCGAAACGAGAGTCTCAGCGATGGATTTGGTCAAAATTGTTCATTGACACTCGAGCCACATTTCGTCAATAGCAAAATTGCAATGGGGAAGGGGGGTGGGGGTGCTTATGGAGTGCGATTCCTCTGTTATTGATAATGGCTTCTGAACAATGTGCCCACTTAAGGCAATCAAAGAGGTGCTACTTGCAAAGTGTACTTGTCATCCGCGAGCATCCAGTTCCGCTGCATAATGAACCATCCAAGATGATTACCCGAAGCCGCGGCGACGCCGCCGCCAACGCTCTCCGTGTACGACGCGAGCGCAACACAAAGGATTTGGATTTGCGGAGCGAGATGACATCTTATATTGAATGGCATGGAAAATAAGATTTCACATCCGGGTGCAATGGGCGAGATGACTTAATGAACGACTTTGCTGTTATTAATCAAGTCGACTATTTTTCAAGACAATGCGATTATGTGTCGTTCATAAAAGGCTACGGACCGTAAATGCAGAGCTTGACACACTTCTAGACTCTTTCTGCAATATTCCAAATGGAGTGTGTGTGTGTGTGTGTGTGTGTGTGTGTGTGTGTGTGTGTGTGTGTGTGTGTGTGTGTGTGTGCGCGCGGGGGGGGGGGGGGGGGGCGTGTCCAGGTGGTTTAATAAACGAAATATGGTCACATCGTTTCGACGTTTACCCGTACCGAGGCAGTACCTCGGGCAGCGGTGTCCAAACAATGGCCCGCCGTCCATTTTTAAGCGGCCCATGGCATGTACTAAAAATGACATCTGCCACCAGTGCATTTGTTTTATATGCGCTGCCGAGCTTTTTTAAAAATATGCATGGATGCAAATGAACTATTTACAGTCACGCAAGCGAGGTTTGGTTTCTCTTCATAACACTGCAGTGAATAAAAACGAATCATTTTTACAACCAACCAACCAAATAAATAAATAAATAAATGAATGTTTTCCTCCACTCTCTTTGCTCTGTGTCGATGTCCAAAGTGTGAACATCTCACATGAATGATTGCCTAAAATGTTGCGACAGAATGCTCCCGTTTTGGACAAACCCGACATGGGGCTGTGGTAAATAAATAAATAAACAACCACTGATTTAGGGCGGCCCGGTGGACCAGCGGTTAGCGCATCGATCTCACAGTGCAGAGGTCGTGGGTTCGATCCCGGCTCCGGTCTCCCTGTGTGGAGTTTGCATGTTCTCACACACCGGGCCTGCTTGGGTTTTCTCCGGGTACTCTGGTTTCCTCCCACATTCCAAAAACATGCATGGCAGGCTGATTGAACACTCCAAATTGTCCCTTGGTGTGAGTGTGAGTGCGGATGGTTGTTCGTCTCTGTGTGCCCTGCGATTGGCTGGCAACCGGTTCAGGGTGTCCCCTGCCTACTGCCCGAAGACGGCTGGGATAGGCTCCAGCACCCCCCGCGACCCTTGTGAGGATAAAGCGGATCGGAAAATGGATGGATGGATGGATAATCACTGATTTATTTCCTAAACAACGTAGCTCAATATGCTTCAACATGCTGTAATTAAAAGGACAACAATGTTCAAGCTAATTAAAAAAAAAATCTTGCTAAAATTACAAAAAAGACCATACGGTGGAAGAACAATATTTTCAAAAATGTGATTTTTAATAAGACGTGGACAGACCCTTTTCGGCACATTTGGAATATTATTCATTATGATTTAAAAAAAAAAAAAAAAGATACCAGCAAATCGGGGGGCTGTAATATACGCAAGTACAGAGAAAAAAAATGTTTTTTTAAGGGTGATTTCAGAGCGGGGGATGTATTTTTCACGGGTACGTGTCACTCACGGGATTTCACGAGCCATTTTGATGTCGCTGGTCGTCCGCATGGACTCTCAAATTCAACAGCCACAGGTTCCTTTGTTTTATGTGAGCAGCTATAATTAGATTCAACTTGTGGAATGATTGCAGATAGCCCGAGGCTACAAGATCACATTCCGCTGATCAGCCCGCATCAAACGCAGCCTTTGTTAGCCCATCCTGGTTGACAATTTTAAGCTTTCAAATCACCATTTTTATTTTTTCCAAGAAGGTGTACATATTGAT